ACCTTCCTGCTCATCTTCATCCTGATCCTCATCATTTCCTGCTACTTTGGATGTGAGTCCAACCATCGCCCCGATCCTTGAATGCAAACCAGAAGCATATCAAGAGTTGGGGCCACGTCAGACATTCTCAAGGAGAGTTCGCATGGATTTAGAGATTGGGAGGGCACCCCAGAGGCCATCTAGTCCAACCCTTAGCAATGCAAGATTTTTTAAATAGCTTCTCTCGCTGCAAAGAGAAAGGGAAAGGCACCCCAAAGGGCATCTAGTCCAACTCTTTGCAATGCAAGATTGTTTAAATAGCTTCTCTCGCTGCAAAGAGAAGTGGAAAGGCACCCCAAAGGGCATCTAGTCCAACCCTTTGCAATGCAAGATTGTTTAAATAGCTTCTCTCGCTGCAAAGAGAAAGGGAAAGGCACCCCAAAGGCCATCTACTCCAACCCTTTGCAATGCAAGATTGTTTAAATAGCGTCTTTTGCTGCAAAGAGAAAGGGAAAGGCACCCCAAAGGGCATCTAGTCCAACCCTTTGCAATGCAAGATTGTTTAAATAGCTTCTCTCACTGCAAAGGGAAAGGGAAAGGCATCCCAGAGAACATCTAGTCCAACCCTTTGCAATGCAAGGCTTTTCAAGGGCTTCCACCCACATCTTTGTATTATTCCCAGATCTGTTGAAAGGGAGGCAACTGCTGCACACGACATACAAGATGTTCATGATGGCGGCTGGAGTGGAAGGTGAGAGAAGGACCTTCTTCTTTCTATCCTGCGTTATCTCTTGACACCTCTTTGAAGGATTTTGGGGAATATTGTTGTTGTTATTGCTGCTGCTGCATGTTTTGAAGTCTTGGTCCAATGTCTCAGGCTGGGACCTGCCCTCCTGGATCCTATATTGTTGTCACAACAATACATCCCTCTTCTCCTGGGTCTCTCCTTGCAGTTCTCAGCCTGATGTTCTTCTGCATCTACTGGGGCCAATATGCCAGCGACGGAGTCGGGAACGGAAGCCTCAAAATCCTGGGTAAGGACCAAGGAGGAAGACGGGGCTGCCTTGCGGGATGGGTGCTGCCTAACCCCCAGGCAGGCTTGCGTCCTGGGTTTGCAGCCCTTGGCATGCTTCTTAACGTTTTCTGTTTCTCCATCTCTCTCCTTCTCCTCCCTTCTCTTATTTGTTCTCTCCTTCCTTCGTTCTCTCCTTCCTTGCCTTCTTTATTCACTCCTTCCTTCTCTCCTTCCTTAATTT